ACATGCCGGAAACTAAAGATCCATTACCCAGTTAGTTATGTCAACAAAAATGATTTATGTAGTTTTAACACAAATTAATTATGCAAACTTCAATTATAAGTATATTAGGTAGAGTGAACACAATAAAATTAAGTTGGCACAAAATGTTCAAAAAGCATGTTATTTAGTTTATATCATTTAAAATAATTAAACTGAACCGGAGGCAAAAAAATCTATATATATATTTTTTGTTTGTTTTATAAGAGTAGGTTAAAAACAATAAGGCATTGTGGTGCCACATGTACTGTACCTGAACATGTGACTTTGGCATGTGTGGTGTTTTGCTCCGTTTCAAAGAAGACCAGAGATCCACAATGCATTGCCTTGCATATGTCAGTGGCTTTTTTCTTATTCTCTTCCTCTGGTTCAGCAGGCAGCCAATCAGTCTTACCATCAAATTGCTCAATGCACAATTTTCCCTCGCAGGGAGAATTGCCTTCAAAGAACTTAAGTTCTTCCTCTGAGAACAAATAAAATGGATTTGTGGTTACTGCATGTTGCACAGGCAATATAATCAAAGTAACACCTTAGACTTATTTACTTAATAAACAAAACTAAAAACTACTGGGATCATGCAAAGCATGTTAAAATTATGTAAACAAAAAAGTTTAACATCAAACATAACAAAACATCAAAACATGATTGGTATTATATTACAGGTTAAACATTTGGAATAATTAAGATGTTTTAGAAAGAAGTTTATTATGCTCAAAGATGTGTTTATTATAAAATACAGTACAACAATAATATTATGAGATATTTGTTATATTTGTTTGTTGAATATATTTTAAAATGTAATTTATTCGTGTGATGCTAAACAGTTTTTGCTGTCACACGATCCTATAGATATCATTCTAAAATGCTCATTTGGTGCTCAATTATCATCAGTTATAATTGGTGCTCAATTGTTAATAATGGTTCTCAATATTATTAATGTTGAAAACTTTTTTTTGTTTAGTTTGGCTTTTTTTAGTGCTTTAGTGACATTTTTTTAAGATTCGATTTGATGGATACAAAGTAAATAAAAAAAATTTTTTTTAATAAAATACAAATCTTTTGTAAGATTAGAAGTGTTTTTACTGTCACATTTGATGAATTTAATGTGTCTTTGATGAATAAAAGCATTCATAATACATAAAAAAGCAGCACAAATGTTTTTAAGATTAATAATAATAATAATAAGAAGAAGAAATGTTTCTTGAGCAGAAAATCAGCATATTAGAATGAACTCTGAAGGATCATGTGACACTGAAGACTGGCGTAATGATGTTGAAAATTCAACTATGCCATTATAGAAATAAATTACATTTTAAATTGTGATTTACTTCACAATATTACTCATTTTACTGTATCAAATAAATGTAACCGTAATAAGAGACTTCATCTAATAAGAAAATTTCATGTATTCCAAACTTTTGACCAGTATGCCTGGTGCATATTATATTGTCTTACTTTTGCAAATGATTTCAATGTTTTTCTCGTTTTGATATGGTAGCCTCAAGTCAGTATTTTCGAAACACTCATGGAGCTTTGCTGAAGAGCTTCTACACCTGACATTCCACAGCCAGTCCTGTGGCTCCTTTTCTCCTTCAACGAAAAGTTCTCTATTTATTTGAATGGATGTACCACAGTTGAGATGTTGACACACCACGTCTGAATTCATAGTGGTACTGTCAGAGCCAATGGGCCTCCATGAGCCTTCCCATTTCACCTCTACACGTCCAGAACAGTCACCCAGACCATCACTCAAACGTACATCCAAGCTGCCTGCCATTTACAGTAAAACAACAACAACAACAAAATTATTGGTATGACATAGACTTTATCAGTTATGGGTGATTCTGGTTGTCTTAGATTCTGAGTTCATTATAATTACCTGCAAAGCCAGTTAGTAAGCCTTAGTTACCTGAACATATAACTTTGGTTCCCTTGCAACGTTTTTTCTCATGATTTGCCAGGCAATGCCACAGTGACCGCTCTTCGCCCTGACAATCAACATTACTCAGCAAACCATTAGAAGTAACGGAGCCCTTTTTCACAAGCACTATGTCACCACAGCCAAGCTCTCGACAGACCACCGCCCCCATATCTTCACGGGACTGATCACTGTAGCACACTTCATAGTTAGCACCATTCACATCAATGGAAACATCTCCAAAACACTCTGTTGTGAAGTTGTGGAGTTTCACGCTGTCTGTGAACACAGCAAATTTAATTGTTACAATGCCTAATAAAAAAGGGCAAAATTCTAATTCATTGTAATAAAATATTTGTAGCTATAATTAAAAGTTTTATAAGATAAGAATAAATATGTTGAGCTGGCATTTACAATGTGTTAAAGTAGAAGAATCTGCACAAATTCTGTGACAGAAGGATGTCTATTTTGGCCTATGTGTTTTGCGCTTCTTGAAAGATTAGAAAATCGGAACATTTTAAAAATGTCATTATTATTACTATTAAAAATCATTTTCAAATAAAGTTGTCTTTGTTATCTATCTACGCATAAAAAGGATTTGATTTTACTAAAAGGTTTTATATTTTTAAATAAGATTTGTTAAATAGTCTATTAATCGTCTATACCACAATATATGTTCATAAATATAGATATATCAGAAGAATTATATTCACATTAGTTTAACTTTGACCTTGTAATATCAACACACAATGTCAACCCTATTACTGTAATAATAATAATCCTATTATTCAATTTCAACACACATTAAAACGTATTAATTTAACTTGAGACGGAACAACACAATTTATTAACACTAAACCATTGTACAAAAAAAACTTGTGTAATTCTAAACTTGTATTAATGCAACATTTATTTATTTATAATTACATATTTATTATTAATATATGGAATCTATTAATAATGATTACTTATATTAATTGATGTAATATTATTTAAAGCAAGAAACTCAGCATCACCTGAGCACGTCAGTCTGTTAGTTCCATTAGCGCTTGTAAAGTTTCCAGTGGAACCACAGTTCATTTGCATACAGATGACTTCAGGCCTCACGTTGGTCTGCTGAAGAGGATTCCATGAGTTTTGTTTGACAGTTTTCTCTTCCACCAACCCAGAGCAAACATTGCTGCCATTCTGTAGACGGAACCTGGTGTGATCTGTGTGATACAAGTATTTCTGTGTAAATGTGAGTTTTACCTCTCACACAAACCATGGAAATACTGGGAAGTATTGTATCACCCAGAAGGGGTTTCAGCACCATTTCATTTACCCCAGTTAGAGCAACGTACTCCATAGAGCTGTTTAATAATAGTAAACACTTACTGCTGCAGATCACACTGGCTCGCTCCTGGCAGTTGAACCGCTCCATACACTGCCAAGAGTACTGCTCATTGCCAACACAATTAAGCAATACATTTTGTTTGCTCTGTTGTCCTTTGAACATTCCAAGCTTGGGGATGTAATGATGATCTCCACAACCAAGCTCCTGACATATCTGGTTTGCTTTACTTTCATCTGGCCAAGATGAAAAAATAAATACACATAAGAACAAAGAAAATGCATGCATAAAGATTCAGCGTCATTGTGAATACTAAAGCTTTTCTCAAATAATCTACTGTCAAATAATAATTTACAAATGTAAAAATGACATCAAAAATGTAGAAGAAACCATTATTAAAGGACATGAAATCAAAATTGGTGTTCTGTGGATTGTAGTCTGTCTTCACTTTGTATGTCGATGCATACATTTTTTTTTAGATGCTTGGAAAAAAAGTTCTAACTAGTTGATTAAAAGTGATCGCAAAAATGGCTCTGAGTTCTAGAGTATCATTTGCTTGCACATGCTATTTGGTTTGATTTGTTAAACTGAGAAGAACCAATTAAACACATTATTTCTAATAAAATACTGTATGTATCACTGCATAAAACATCAAACTCAAACTTCGCATTTTTCAATTTGTTTTAATGTACTGTAACATACTGTGTGTGTGTGTGTGTGTGTGTGTGTGTGTGTGTGTGTGTGTGTGTGTGTGTGTGTGAAAAGTTTTTGAACAGTACGATTTGTAATGGTTTTTAATGACGTCTCTTCTGCTCACCAAGCCGGCATTTATTATTTGATCCAAAGTACAGTAAAAACAGTCACATTTTCAAATATTTTTACCATTTAAAATAACTGTTTTCTATTAAAATATATTTTAAAATGTAATTTATTCCTGTGATTTCAAAGCTGAATTTTTAGCATCATTACTCCAGTCACATGATCCTACAGAAATCATTATAATATTCTGATTTGCTGCTCAAAAACATTTATTATTATTATTATTATTATTATTATTATGATGATGATGTTGAAAACAGCTGAGTAGATTTTTTTTCAGCTTTCTTTGATGAATAAAAAGTTCAGAAGAAGCATTTATCTTAAATATAAATCTTTTGTAACATTATAAATGTCTTTATCATAACTTTTGATCAATTTACAGCATCCTTGCTAAATAAAAGTATTATTTACTTTTATTTATTTATTTTTACTGACTCCAAGCTTTTGAACGGTAATAGCTGAAAATTCAGCTTTGATCACAGGAATAAATTGCATTTTAAAATATATTCAAATAGAAAGCAGTTACTTTAAATAGTAAACATATTTCACAATATTAATACTTTTGCTTTTGGATAAAATAAATGCAGGCTTGGTGAGCAGAATAGAATTCTTTAAAAAACATGGCTGTATTAGATCAAAAGGGTGCTTCTACTAAATACTGAGCAAAGGGTCTGAATACTTAGGACCATGTGATATTTCAGTTTTTCTTTTTTAATAAATCTGCAAAAATGTCAACAATTCTGTGTTTTTCTGTCAATATGGGGTGCTGTGTGTACATTAATGAGGAAAAAAAATAACTTAAATTATTTTAGCAAATGGCTGCAATATAACAAAGAGTGAAAAATTTAAGGGGGTCTGAATACTTTCCGTACCCACTGTATATATATATATATGACAAAAAAAAGTTTAATGAGTTAAAAAAAATTACCAAAATAGACACACACTGCTCAAAATGGAGTCAGAAGTGTTTGGAAGCTTGGGGAAAAAAAGTTATGTGGTCTTGGGGAGAACTGACTTCAGTCCACTAAATGATCATTTGATAAAAATAAAAAAAAAGCTCTCAGAAAAGTGCCATTAGGTCTAGAGTAACATCTGCTTGCACATTTAATTTGGGATGAAACAATTTATTTACACTTAAGCACATTGTTTGCATTCGAATATGGAACACTGCACGAGAATTACCTTTTCAAACGGCATATTACTGCATTTGTATTAATGTAACATTATTTATTAACAATTACATATTAAAATGAATATATCAACATCTAAATAATTAATATTTACATTTCACAAAAAAGGTTATTGGGATTTAAATATGAATTATACATATACTGCATTCTTAAACAGCAGCTGAAGATTAGTTGTCATCACTTTTAAACACATAAATAATTACAAATCATTTACTTCAATTGCATCAATCCACTAAATGACCAGTTGATTAAAAGTCATTGCAAAAAAGGCTCTGAAAAGTGCTGTTATTTGCTTTGAGATGACTTCTTTTTTTGTGATGCAATGACATTTAGACATTATCTCTCATATTTTGGTCAATAAAGAAGAAATAGCTAATAAAATAAACTTCTTGTTTCTGTCTACTTACCCCATTTATCATTACAGACCCCAAAGATGCCGTTGGGTGTCGAGAACTCCACCACACCAGCACATTTATCACGCTGCCCGTTCAGATTCAAACTCAGTGTAACTTCTCCTGCGGTGAAAAGTTTGGCATCAACAATGTGTAGATTCACATCTGAACACTAACTTAGATGACAGGAATACAAACATAAAACATTTTTTGTATAGTTAAAGGAATACTACCTACCAGAGCATTCAACAGCAACAAAACTACTTCCATCGCACTTTTCTTTTGCATTTATGCCAACATATAGGCAATTCCAAAGGCTCTCTTCTTTAGATGTGCATTTCACTTCATCCATCCAATATTGTTGGGGTAGAAGTGGATCTTTGTAGCGGGTCCTTTCTACATCAGAGTGCATATGATTTCCACACCCTATTGATTTACACACAACCTCTCCATTTTCTTTTATCCACCCGTAATGACACACCAAGCCCCACTGCTTATTACCGCCATGATACACCTCTAGCCGGCCTTTACAAGGGCTGTCGGATCCACGCAAAGTCACATTGAGACCTGCAAGAAATGTAAATTAATTAAATTAAATGAAATAAAAACATTTAATTAAATGACATTTTAATAAAAATTAACTATCTTTTTTTTTCCAGCAAAAATAATTTCTTTTGAAACAGCTACGCTCCTTTAGAATGCAATCTAAGGACATTGCAAAAAAGGCTCTGAAAAGTGCTGTTATTTGCTTTGAGATGACTTCTTTTTTTGTGATGCAATGACATTTAGACATTCTCTCTCATATTTTGGTCAATAAAGAAGAAATAGCTAATAAAATAAACTTCTTGTTTCTGTCTACTTACCCCATTTATCATTACAGACCCCAAAGATGCCGTTGGGTGTCGAGAACTCCACCACACCAGCACATTTATCACGCTGCCCGTTCAGATTCAAACTCAGTGTAACTTCTCCTGCGGTGAAAAGCTTGGCATCAACAATGTGTAGATTCACATCTGAACACTAACTTAGATGACAGGAATACAAACATAAAACATTTTTTTATATAGTTAAAGGAATACTACCTACCAGAGCATTCAACAGCAACAAAACTACTTCCATCGCACTTTTCTTTTGCATTTATGCCAACATATAGGCAATTCCAAAGGCTCTCTTCTTTAGATGTGCATTTCACTTCATCCATCCAATATTGTTGGGGTAGAAGTGGATCTTTGTAGCGGGTCCTTTCTACATCAGAGTGCATATGATTTCCACACCCTATTGATTTACACACAACCTCTCCATTTTCTTTTATCCACCCGTAATGACACACCAAGCCCCACTGCTTATTACCGCCATGATACACCTCTAGCCGGCCTTTACAAGGGCTGTCGGATCCACGCAAAGTCACATTGAGACCTGCAAGAAATGTAAATTAATTAAATTAAATGAAATAAAAACATTTAATTAAATGACATTTTAATAAAAATTAACTATCTTTTTTTTTCCAGCAAAAATAATTTCTTTTGAAACAGCTACGCTCCTTTAGAATGCAATCTAAGGAGTACAGTACATCATTGCTTTTATCTTGAATTTACGTTTTCATAAACAACGACATATAAGGAGTACAGAAGTTATATTTATAAATTAAAAGATATAATATAATAGTATAAGGGTCAAGGTGTCTCTTTTAACCTTATATGGTCATTGGAAAAATGTGGCTCTGAGTTCTGAGAACAGATGAGCCACATACTCTGCAGAAACTGCTGCGGTCTCTTATCTGCCCGTGGTTTTCAGCTCTGAAACTCTGGCAAGTTGCATGTTTATGCAGATTCTGAGATAAACCCGCTTCACATAAGCATGAGTAAGTTAACCACAGGTATAACCGTGCCTTTCCACACAGGGTTATGAAGAACATACGCTTGACACACAAACCACAGCGTGATCTTGGTTTTGGTCTCTTCATGTCTAGAACGGTAATTAAAAATTAATGCACTGATCATCTACATCTGAAGATGGACTCATTACTCATGTAACGTGTTTTAATATGCATACGTATTTATTTATTCTTGCCATTTTCATTCCACCAGGTAGATAAAATAAATAAATGAATAAATTATATATATTTATTAAATATATATAATAAATATTATATCACAAAGATGCATTACCATATACTAATGTATATTAATCACTGTAGCTGTTTTCATTTAGAATGAATGCAATTTTGCAGTATTATATTTGTTAATTTATACTTAGAGGAGACAAGGAAAAAAGAAAAGACGAAAGATGTATTTGTATGTTATAGTATGTATATATAACGAAAACTAGTTTTATTTATTTAATAATTTATTAGCAAATTAATTATAAATTAAGATATACACATTAATTATAGATATATTTCAAGATACTATAAGAGACATATTTCAAGTTTTTATTTATTTATTCATGAATTAATTAATTTGTTCATTCATTTTCAATTTCTTTTCGAATTTAACACAATCAAATTGTTCTCAAGTATTTGATAGTAGCACTAAAACTACATTTGTATAAATAATAAAATGATTATTTGCGTTACAAATTTTTTTGGCAGGTTTTACTAGCTATAGATTAATCTTTTTTTTTTTTTTTTTTTTTTTTTTTTTTT